TAGAATGAACTTCAAAATTATTTTTTAAAAAAGAAAAGTCCAGGAAAGTGTGTGTATTTGTGCAAAAACTATATATGTGTGTGTGTGTGTATGTATATGTATATATATGTGTGTGTGTGTGTATATATATATGTGTGTTTATATGTGTGTGTGTATATATATATGGAAGCTCTGGTGGCATAGTGCCTAAGGCATCTGACTGTTAACCAGAAGGCTGGCAGTTCAAATCCACCAGCCACTCCTTGGAAGGATAATTGGGCAATCTACTTCTGTAGTGATACTGCCTCGGAAACCCAAGGAAGTGTCACTATGAGTTGGAGCTGACTCGATGGCAGTGAGTTTGGTTTATATATATATATATATATATATATATATATATATACACACACACACACACACACACACACACACTCTCCATATGAGTTTGCTATTGTCCATGAGTATGACAATTCTGGAAAGATATAAAACAAACTGGTAACACTGGTTCCTAGCTGGCCAGAGACAGCATGGAAGGAGACTGTTTTCTATGTATCTTTTGCAACTTTTGATTTTTGAATTGTGTGACTATATTTTCTATTCCAATAAAAATAAATAAACAAAAATAATAAATAAAATGGAAATATGAATACTAAAACCCTTCCAGTCAGGCCAGCTCAAATCTAAGCAAATATAATCTTCCCAGCCCTTGCTCTGTATTCGAAGTCCATCATTCTGGTTGCCTTGGTTCAGAGGCCAGAATCCCTTCTTCCAAGGTCCTACCCATACGAAGAAAGGAGAGACATGAACAATGCCTGTGTTGTAAGATATTCCATCTTCTGCTCAGGAAATCTTAAAGGTCCTTTCTGGTTCTTCATGCTCAAGTATATATCCCTGATCAACTGAGCTGGCTTCACTTCCTAGCACATCCTACATCCCTGCTTCCCTCTTAACAGGCTGCTCTGGTGCTACATGCAGAACCTGTTGATCCCACAGTGGGATCCATCTACAAGCCTCCTGTACCCCGTCTTAGGGAAGTCAGAGTTCCCATCTCCTTTGATCTGATGTGCCACCTAAACGTTTTCCTTGGCCTCTGGATCGATTGTTTTCTTCCATGCTCCATGCTTCCAACTCTGGTATTTACTTTCCTTCTCAATCACTCTTCTGCAGTCCTGCTTTTTAGGAGTAAATTTAATTGACTCAATCTTAGATCCCTTGAAATAGTCCAGAAACAGTGCAAGAAGCTCACAAGAAAAGAGAAGATAAACAGGAATCCCAGTATTCACCCATATCTCATTTGGGCAGCCACTCACTGACTCCTGAGCAAGCTGCCCATCAGAATTCTCTCCATTTGACAAGTAACTTACCTCTCAAAGTCCTCACATCTGACAGAAAAACAATCAGTAATTGTTCCACAACTTGCTACAGGCAGCAGGATATTGAGTTAGGGTGTGATGAGAACCAACACAGAAGGACAATCTACAATGCTCTCATTAACAGCATCTTCCTGCACCCCAACCCCAATGAAATACCAAATGGAATCTGAGAAAAAAGCCTGAGCTACTTGCTACATGGATAAAGTTTATTTCAGATCTGGTTACCTAGAAGGAAAATTTTTTAAAAAGTCCTGACTTTTCCAAATTACAAGCAATCAGCCCACGGGGTAAATTCACTGGAAAAAAACAGCAGCAGTACAGGATGGGAAGTTGCATTCCCTGTATTCATGCAACTACCACCTCCCATGACCTTAGCTAGTAGAATGTCTCATTCAAAATAAACACCTCTATGTACATAACAGTGGTGCAATTTAAGCAGCACCGCGTGATTTTAAGCCTCTGGTGCTCCACACAGCTACAAACAGAGGTACATGTTCTGGGAATACCAGTGAAGATTATGTTCGATTTCAAGAATGAAGAATTTGTTTCAGATCATGTGGCTGCTCACTGATTATCACAGGTCTGAAACAGCCTGAAAAATCCCTCCACATGGAAACATAATATTTGTATCAGCAACTGGGAGGGACTGTTATCTGGTAGGAATGAGGCCAAGAGCTCAGGAGCTACACTGCCGGAAACAAGAATAATGCTTGCTATGAGTTGATTCCTACTCACAGCGACCTTATACACAAAAAATCAAATGCACCAAATACACTGCCATCCCATCAGGTTGGATCCAACTCCTAGTGACCCCAGCGACCTTACAGGAGAGAGTAAAACTGCCTCATAGGGTTTCCAAGCCTGTAACTCTTTAGAGAAGCGGAGCACCTCACCTTTGTCCCACAGAGCACCTGATGGATTGGAACTGTTAACCTTTTGGTTAGCAGCTGAGCAACCACTGTGCCACCAGAGCTACCTCACGCAGGAACAGCCTAATGGAAACCAACAACAAAAAACTCAGATTTTAAAACCATCCTTCAGAAAAGAAAGAATAAGGAAAAAGCAAAGAGTAAACTGACTGCTCTGGATTTATCACAGGCATGGAGCTCTCCTTCCTTTCCCTCTTCCCTGTAAAAGAACTGAGCTGCCCCCACTTGGTCCAAACTCTGCATTCTTTCACAAGGCAGACTGACTCTCACACTCATGCACACCCACCCCACCCCCAAATAGGTTCAGAATTTGGGTCAGAATCATGACCCAAATTGGCCCAATGAGATGCAATCCTGAGCTTTCACTGGAACTCTCGGAATCTCTCTCTGCAAGATTTGCCAGGCTGGTAGGATGTAAATCGAGACCTGATGGTGGCATCTTTGTCACCACTTGGGGAGAGTCTTCCTAAGAATAAGGCCAAAACATAAAACAGATCTAAGCAAAAAAGTAAGACTGATTTCTAATGACACTGTGAGATTATCTGGATCCAGTCATATTGGATTGTTTAAATCCTGGACTTTTTAAGTTATTTGATCCAATAACCTTCCCCCCTCCTTATTTTCTTAAGTGGTTTTGAGTTAAGTCTCTGCCACTTTAAATCTTCTCATAGAGTTTATTTAATGCTGTCCCCAAAGCCACACTTAATCACACATCTTGAAACATTGGTAAAATAACTCTAAACCAAGGGAAAATTCAATTGCTTCTCTCTGAACGTTTCAGAAGCAGAGTCTATTCCACTAACATTTCACACAGACAAGCTTCCAGTCTATGTGGCCTTAACAGTATGTGAATAATGTATCTAAGTATACATTTCCATTTCTAGCATGCTTAACACTGTCAGTAAATGATCCATAAATGGTAGCTATTATTGTATGTCCATCACTATCCTAAGGGCTGTGTGAGCATTAACTCATTCATTACTAAAAAGCTAGAAAGTAGGAAGTATTATTATTATTTCCATTTTATAGAAGAGAAAATAGAGGTTTGGGGGGGGGGGCGGTTAAATTACTTGCCCATGATCACAAAACTATTGAGTAGTGGAGTTTGGATCAAAGACAGAAGATGTCATTCATCATTCAAGAGTCTACATTCATAGTCATTAGAAAATACCATCCTCTGCTTCTTTTGGTAACTACACTTGTTGTTATTTGCTGTTGAGTCGGACCCGACTCATAGTGATCCCTCCTTGGGTTTCCGAGGTAGTATCACTATGAAAGTAGATTGCCCAACCTTCTTTCGGAGGAGTGGCTGGTGGGTTTGAACCCCCAGGTTTCGGATTAGCAGTCAAGTGCCTTAGGCACTATGCTAACAGAGCTCCCAACTACACTTCTTACTAATGAATATGTTGCATTAAAAAAAAATGCAAAGAATAGTCCCTGCACATTTCAATCACCAGTCTTTATCCTAGGAGCTCTGGTCGCATAGTGCTTAAGGCATTTGACTGCTAACTAGAAGGTCAGCGGTTCAAACCCACCAGCCACTCCTCAGAAAGAAGGTTGAGCAATCTACTTCCACAGTGATACTTCCTCAGAAACCCAAGGAAGGGTCACTATGGGTTGGATCCGACTCAATAGCAGTGAGTTTGACTTTTGGTTTTGGTGAGTCTTTATCCAGCAAACACAGAAGTATGGCAGGTTTCAGTGCACACTAATTGCTGCACTTATCAGAAAGGGCTGATGTCTACCTTTCAATTTTGTAGCTGCCTAATTGGGGGAAGGGCACTAAAATAAGTATCTACAAAATGTCAGACATCATGATAGGCACTTAACTTGTATGATTTTATTTGGTCTTTACCACATAGTTACCTAGTTTACAGATAAAGAGATTAGAGTTCAGAGAGATGAAGTAGCTAACTCGTGGACAGTCATATGGCTATTAAACAGTTAGGTCAGTAATTAAGCCAACAGTGTTTCTAAATCTAAAGACTATCTTTTTTCCACACCTCATATTGTTTGGCATGAGTATAAGGCTTATACGTGGAGGCACACAAAAGATGGTTATCTAACATTAAAATAGGCTGCCCTCTCACAAATAAAGGTGCTCTGAGCCTAAACTTCTCTAAACATTTACCCAAAAGGAGTCTGGCATGCTCTAGACAATGGCATTTAGAGTAAAAAAAAAAAAAATAGATAAAGCATTTTCTAAAAGAAGACCTACCTATACATGAGCTCACCCACATACGTAATTGGAAAACACACATGACCTGATGATTCCCAACTGGGTTGGGGAAATGTACATTAAAAAATGTATCCACACTCCTTAGATACAGTAATGGTGGCCTGTTAGGAGGATGTCTTCATTGCACTACCTTGTCATAGCTTTGGCTTTCATCAAAGACATCTTATACCCCTTTACATCTTGTCTCAATTTCCCTACTACTGCTTCTCTTTCCACCCTTGTCAGCAGCTTGAGGAAGAACAAAGCCTTGGAGCCAAAACTTGGTGGTTAGGGCATTGCTGAAATTTGCAGCCAAGGCAAAATCTGACAGCTTGGTATTAAGAGATCATTGTATCCTCTATGGCATAGTTGTTTCTGGCTCCAAATGCCTACTAGGATTGGAGTTGACCAGATGGCTTGAGTCAACATTAGCATGTCTTTCCCTCAGGTTTGAGCTTAGGATGATATGGGTACCCCTGGAATTTGGTGCATCACACCCACCTCTGCTTTTCTTTGCTTCTCCTCTTGCTCTCTCTGCTCCTTCTCCATGCCAACCAGTTTGAGCTTCAACTCAGACACTTCAGTCATCAGATCAAGCTTCTGGGTCTCAAGAGATGTGCGACTTAGGAGCTCCTACAAACAAAAACAGATCTCAGCATCATAAACCACTATGGCAACAAGGAAAATGCTAGCTCTGTCCAGAGCACATAAGGCAATCTCTAAATTATACACTGGACAACACAGAGACTGCTGCATGTGAGCCTCAGGCCTATTAGGGTGGGTCTGGTCTGGTACTGGGTCACTCTGGGATAACATAGTCAATCCCTGTCACTACCTACTGCCCTCTGAAAGACAATGTGAGCTTCATTTTTCAAAACTGTTTGCCTGCAAAAACAATTATTGGTCATTTCCAAATAGAGAAAAAACAAAGTGGAACTCTCAAAGAACCAAATTTTTCCATTTCTATTTTTAGGGCAAAGAAGCAGATCTTCTTCTCTAAAACAAAGCAAAACTGGGGTGGGGGGGCAAGTTTATGTTATCAATATAATTTTAAAACCAAAGTTTCTCGATCAGCACCTGGACCCAATTAACACTCCAATCTACTTTATGGTAAGACCTCACTGAGATGAATCTAGAATGGAGCTAGGAACATAAAGTAGATGCTCTGTGAATAGCAGGAGCATTTCTCAAAGTCCAATAATTATATTTTATTTTATGAGAGAGATCTTTCCTTTACCATGTCAAAATTACAATATGGCCACAAGCAAGAACATTGTTCTATCTTGATTATGAGGCTGACCAAACCAAAAATTCCAAACTCACTGCCACTGAGTTGATTCTGACTTATAGCAACCCCCATTGGGTTTCCGAGGTGATAAATCTGTACAGAAGCATATTGCCCCATCTTCCTTCTGCAGAGTGGCTGGTGGGTTTGAACTGTCAACCTTCTGATTAGCAGTCAAATGTCTTAGGCACTGCACTATCGGAGCTCCTTATGAGGATAGACCAGGGGAGGTTATTACTAGTCCTGCTGTCACTAGAGCAGTGGTAGACCACCAACCAGATATCTCAAGTCCTTGACAATACCTTCTATTAATACAAAGACTTAATAACCATGAACTAGGCAAAAATCAAAGGTGATAGGCAACATGCCTGCTCAGAACTACTAGAAATGGTGATGCACCTAAAAAAAAAAAAAAAAACCAGGAGCATTTCCCAAAGTCCAAGTGTAACACATTTCTCCACTAAGAAAATGCAATGCCCTTGAAGTTCAAAAACCTGGCACTGACACTGGCTACACAGGTCCTAGTAAGAAGAGTATGTATAGCAGCCAGAAGAACAATAGGCCAAACGAGCAGATGCAAAAGATCTGAGAGGAGACACAATACTCTGCCATAGTCTGAATGCTTCATATCACTCTGGGCAGCCCAACGCTACTACAAGAATGGAGATCTTAAAATTCTGACTCACAGTTCTGATTTCAAGTGTTCTGAACCATCCTCTGATCACAAATGAAACCACACCCCACAGGACAAGAATTTTGACTTGGAACACATGATACCCTAAGCCAAAGGCCCCCAGAGACTCAGAGAGGCTCCTTTACTAATCTACACTGTCCCTTTGCTAATCTGAGGAGATGGATACCTAAAAACCATACAGCTCAGCAAAATAAGCTCACTGAGCACTGGACCAAGGAGGTCAGCTCTTCCTGAACCAGTCATGAGGTGGGCTTGACGGCAGAGGCAGCTGCAACTGCAGGGTCAGAACCACAAGTCATCTAGCCATGAGGGGGTTAGCTGGATAAGTACATAAATATAAGGTGGGAGGAGGGGCTTAGATTTACTGAGTGCCAGACACCTTTGAGTGCTCTTCATATAGCTCTTAATAAATGCTCTCAGTGATCTGGCAGTAATAGTATTATCCCAGTTTTACAGATGAGAAAACAAGTCCAGAGATGGTAAGTAAATCTCTTGACCAAAACCACATGCTGATCAGTAGCAGAGTTAGTTTTCAAACCAAGGTCTGTTTGACTCCAAAGCTCATTTCTGTCTAATATATTACATTGTTTCCTAAACAGAGGAAGAAATCCAAGAGTTTTAAGGGATATTTGAAATACATGTTGAAAAACTCAATAAGCAAATATTTAATGAGCCCATGAATATTTGCTCAGATGGGTAAGATTTCATTGAGCACATACTACTTACTAGAGACCCAGTCTAAAGCTACGTAGGTCAACAAAGAAGGTCCCCATGGGGACCTTCCCTGGGTAGAAGGGCCCACAGAAATGAAAAGATCTCTGGATCTTGAATAACTTGAGTATTAAGTTGTAATCCTTCCCATGCTCCCTGCTCACATCTGTCCCTCTCTTCTCCTCCCCCATCTCACTCTCTGCCTCCACTACCTCATTCTCTGTCTGCCTCTCCACCTTCCATCTACCCGTTTTGTTCTAAAAATGATTTGAGGTAGTTTGGAAAACACATATCCTAAGTTTAAAAAGGAATCATAAAAATTAAAATGGATAGGAAAAGAAGTTGAAGCCAGAATTACGGTTGGTATAAAACCTAAACCATAAAGTTTTGCACACTTCCAGAGACGGACAAAATGTATTTGTGACCTTCCCAACAGCCACTTAAAGAGGGGAAAGGAGCAATTATACAAATCAAGGTTCATGAGACAAAAACAACTTCTTTGGAGTACTGAAACCTGGGAAAAACTTTTTCCATGAGACTTCACTCATTTATTCAACAATACATCTTTTAATACCTACCAGATGCTAAAGATTAGGGACATGACAATTAAAGATGCAGTCCCTGTTGAGTTCTTGAGCATATTAAGATGATATTCATGCAGGTGGTCTACTGACCAAGCATTTGATTTACTGCTTTGATAGGCTTCAAAAATGTCTCAGAATTTATCTCTCTTGAAAGCTATTCTAAGTCTATTCTATCCTCATTATTGCTACAAAATCCCTCTGGCTGTTTTAACTGCCAGGGTGCAATTGGTCACACCAATGTTCCAGCTGATGAGGATAATATTCCAATTGGTTGCACTGAAGTTCCAATAGCCATTCCAATCGGTCATGCCAGTGTTCCAATTAGTCACACTAACATTCCAAACAGACATTCCAGTTGGACAGACCAATATTTTAATTAGAAACCTAGGTCTACGTAATTCCACACAGTCTACTAATTACAAAACTTTTACTTACTGTCTCCTAATTTATATCTATTAGCATGTGCCTCCAACTTTCATCATCACCTTTCCTTCATCCCTGTCATTAATGATTACTACACTCTGAATTCAAATTGTGCTTTAAACAAGCTTATTTTAATCCAGTTCCACTTACACATCTCTAGGCCCAACATGGCTTCCTCTGCTCCTACCCATCATTATCTACTATCACCTCTAAAAATGATTGTATTAACAAAATTTAACTACCTTGCATCCTTAATCGCTCCTTCTTCTTCCAGCATGAACCACATCCTGGCTTCTACACTCTATGAGACATCCTGCCCAGCTATCCCAACTGGAGACCATTCTGCTTCCAGTGTTCCAGCTTACAGAACACTTTCCTCCACATTTCCAAAATGCTTCTAGACTGCCGTTTGTCCCTGTTGCTCCTCCCCTAAGGCAGGACCACTCAGTTATATCCCATTCTCCCCAAATATCCAGAACCCAAGACAGTCTCCCAATGTCCTTGAAGATTTTGCCTTTTGATCAATAGCTTTTCTACCTACTTTGGGTGCATTCCATCTCCTCAGTAGTTTGAACATCCTTGTTAATGAATTGTTCACTCAACACCAGCTCTGGTATCACATTTATTGACCTCATCCCCAACAGATTTTGCTTCCATTTCATTTCAGCTTCTCAACAGCACGGCCACAACTTGGCTCTCACCTTCATCCAAACTTTGTTTGCTCTGCTTCTAAAATCATCTACTCTGAAAAAGTCCCCTCTGGCCACAGTCTTCTGAGCTTTCAACTTCTCTACTTGCTTACTCAAATAACCTACCATTTCTTCTTCTGTCCCACTAGTTACTTAATAACTTCCTGTTTTCCTAGTTTCTCACCTTCCTTTAAGCAATATTTGCCTTCTTATCCACACTATACTTTGAAGTTAGTCATTTCAATTGTACTCATATCTGCACTAGAAAATTCCTCATTCAACTCACTCCTGTCCCCAGACTTAATGTGCATTTGTCTTACCAGAGTACAGCCGTGCCAGACCTCAAAGTCTTTTGCCTATATTTCCATTCCCAATGGACTGAGAATTGCTGTTGGAAGTTACTTAATGATGCCAACTGTTTCAATACAAATTTATGCTATCTAATTATAGCTGACCCATCAATACTGCCTGGCAAAGCTTGTATTCATCTCTGGCTGATTCCTTTCAGGGATTTTTCCAAATCTTTACTGTTCTCCTCAAATCCTAAATCTCAGCCTGCTCCCCTCTTCTCCTCTAATAACCTCTCCTCACATTGACTGAAAAGACAGAAACTGTCTAATTGTTCATTGAATGTATGTCCTTTCTACTTCAAAGTTTCCTGGAATTATCTGTCATTCATATATCTTAAATCCCTGTCTTAGAGAAAGCAACCCCATACCCCTTCCTAATCTGTCATAATTGCAAATTGTCATCTTCTTCGTTAGGTTCTTTCACCTTTAAAATCTGTTCCCTGGCTCAGTAAGCTTCCGGTTACACATAAAAAGCAAATGTCAAAGGACACAACACTTCTAGAATTTGCTCCTGAATTGCTCTCATCTAACCCAACTTCCTATTTCTGACCATTTCTCAGTCTCTAGACTCTTCACACCATCCTCACAGAGTGGACAAACCCAGAGGTTGCTTTCATAGTTAAAGCCTTCCTTTGGCTTTATTTCCTGAGTTCTGGTCCAATTTTTCCCTCTAGCCTGATAACTCAGAATGACTCCAACTTACATGGTCCTATAGACTCCCACATCTCTGTGCTGCCTTTGAGGAAGTTACTACAAAATACTGTGCTACTTCACGATTGTTGCTGTGTGCCATTGAGTTGATTCTGACTCACAGCTACCCTATATGACAGAGTAGAACTTCCCCATAGGTTCTCTAGGAGCTCTGGTGACATAGCGCCTAAAGCATTTGACTGCTAA